AGAAGCTTTCCAACGTTGAAAAATACCTTTTTCCTATCTTCTTCTTCAGTCTCTCGGCAATTGTATATGCAAACTCAAAACTTCCAACTATGAGTGCACGTATTTGGAAGTATTATAAAATCTTGGAGAGCGACCGTTCTTAATGATTTTGTACCATTTCAGGACAAAATCGCTTTCAAATCAGTGGCTTGCCACGACACATCATTTGTTCGATAAGTTATTTTTATTCTCCTTCTTGTTCTTGGTTAGTGTTATCAGCTATTTTTCTAACATGTTTCATCAGGACAAAACCATCTGCTGCTTTTTTTGCTTGTTTACAATGTCTAAAAGTCATTGTTTATAATGTCTAGAAGTCATTGCTTATACAATTACACTTTCATCCTCGATCTTGTTTTGTAGTGCATAACGCTTCATTGTTTGCACTTGCATCCTCAATCCTGTTTTCTAATCCATACGAGTTCTGTCCCAGTGTGTGATAATGACTTGCCTAAAAAGTTGAGATGTGAGTCAAGATTCTGTTGTACCTAGTTCACTTATACTGGACTTGTTAATTATTGTGCCAATAATGACGCTAAACTCTTATTTTCTGTTGATATCAGTTGGCAATCTTAAAGCAGTAGTTTTCTTTTTTTTTTCTTCTCCTTCTCTACACTTGCTTAACTGCAGGGGTGGATTCATGCTGAAAGATATGAGTTCGGCAAAATATGGTGGATTTGGGCTTTTGGCCATATCTAGTATATATGTTAGAAATTCGTTAAAAATATACAAAAAGTAAATTCTAAACTCAGCTACTAGCACCTTTTAAACTCAGCTACTTATACTTAGAGATTACTGTCCTAGAATCTAGAAACTATAAACTTCAAATCTTGGATCTATGTCTATTCAACTCAAAATGACAAATGTATAGTTCTAGAGAGTATTCCCTAGTTGTCCCAAGTTGCACTGTTTAATTTTGACATCACAAAGCAGTAGACTAGTTTTTTTTTCTATTCTAAAGTGCTGCTAAAATTCATATAAGAGAAACATAGATTTGTGACGGATTTATAAAGATTTTATTTTTGGGATCTTTACACAAATAATTGGTCGTATTTATTATTTAATTTTTCTAGTCATATACAAAAATTATACATTGTTGTGAACTCAATAAGTGACTCGGTGAAGGACATGTTTGGAGATTTGAAAAATTATGTATGGGACCCATTTTGAGCGTAGGAAGGTGCTCATTGCGTGAAGTGCAACATGAGAGAATTAGTTATAAATACAGTAGAAAGCGTAGTATATTTTATGCTGAAGTTGTCAAGTGTTAGCTCTATTTTCTCATCTTTGTTCATCTATACTTTTCATCCTCAATTCTGAGTAAGTCTATTTCTCATCACCTTTCTTCTTAGTTTGCTATTGCTTTATCCTTACTATCATTAGCATTGTAATTCCAATTAATGTTAAGTTTATAAAATCAGTTGGTTTGGGTGAAATATTTTGGTTTGTTACATTAGTGCTTTCATCCATCGAACTCCATCGAAGATAATGTTTTTACAGGCAACTCGGAGAATTGGATTTTTCGGGCCGAGTTATACTTCACTTACCTTGGCTTCTCCAAGAAGGACTGACTGCCTCTTCCTTCCTTCTACCTGGAAGGCGATGCCCTGGCATGGTTCAATTGGTTGTTTCGCAACAATCAATTCTATGATTGGGACCATTTCAAGGAAACATTTCTTCTGCATTTTCCAAAACGAACCTTTGCTAATTTACAATGTAGTTCAACTTTCTATGAGCTTGAATCTGCTTCCAGACCAGACAACAAGACGAAACAAGAATTTTTTGTAATGTCTACTAGAGTTTTACCTAATGCAATGGCTGATAGGCCTTTGGTTATAGCAGCAAACTCCAAAATCGATCCTTCTTATTCTTTCGGTTTATTCACAAAACTTCAAGTACCTGATATATGTAATCCCATCTCTAGTTTAACTGATAGAGAGAAGTGTGCACCATATGAAAACAAGGGGTTCGACAAAATTTCCCACCATGACGAACCTGCTCTGCCCTGCCATTTTACATGCGATGAATCACTCTTCGTTCCTCTTGTTGGACAAGATCAGCTTGTGCCCTGTGAGATTGCTCAATTTCCTTTTACTAAGAATTTATGCGCTAAATCTAACAAGCTTTTGGCTGCACGAGCCCTTCTTTTTGAGATGCAACCTGATTTAGAGGATAAAAAATTTGAGGAGTCGTTCGATGAAATGTTAAATAGTTGTTGCCCACCATCATTTGCGAAGGCGCAATCAGATGCCCCAATTAAAATGATCCATGAAGATGCTATATGTCCTAAAAGCTGTGAAGTCCAATTGTTTGCTAAAAGTCCTCAAAGAGATATGCTAGTGAAGTATGTTACTGCACCTTCTTTTGATCACGACCCTACTAAACAGCAAATTGAATTTGAGACTTTTGAAGACATGTATATTGGTGAATTTCTCTGGGAGCTTGAGACTATTGAGGACCTATATCTTGATAATTCTTTTAAGGAGAATGAGGACGACATTCCAACAAGTTACATGCCTTCGGATAAAATGCTATCTGATGATGGGCATATGGAATCTACTGGGGGATTCAATGATCACCATATTTTGAATCGATTTCCATTTGATCGTGGTGCTAATTTCTTATATGTCACCATAACATTAACTGTAACAAATCTTTATGTATGGGATCCAGAACTTAGTTCTGAGTTCATGGATCTAACATGTGGTACAGAAAATGAGGAGGTACATACATTGTTTGAAGAAATTAGAAACAAAAGGAGTTGCTTATTTGCAAAGTTGTATGATTGGGTGACTGTGGGTGGAGTCGAAACGGGTGTCGAATGCAGTTGTAATTTTCAAAATTCTTGTACATCATACAAGCTACTAGGCGAGTCTAAAGCACATTCCTTTTTGTATTCCTTTGATGGTGCTCCTACTCACCTTGAGGAACAGTCCATAATGTGGTGTCACCGTGAGATTGCTTATCTAATTGTTGTAATGCATTGGATACTAATGGAGCTCATTCATTATGAAGAGGTCATCACTCGCTATAGCCCCGTATACAAAATTTTAATGTTGCTTTCCTGCTGGGTTGGAGTTCCTAATTCTAAAGTTCTAAAGTTGCATCAACCTAGTAAGATTTTGGCTATGTTTGCTGGTAAAAAAGGATGGAAGAGCAAAGCGCCAGCACATTTATTAAAGCTTGACAAAGGACTGCATTGTCTCAACTTAATGGAAGAGTCTAAGTTCGAACATGACAATGCATGTTATGTCCTCATTTTATATATTGCATGGTCGATCAAGTCAATTAGTTTATGCTGGAAACTATATATATGAAGCTGCAGAATTCATGGATATGTACTTACTGGTTGTTGGGGTTAACATGAAGCCATTTAGAGGGCTTGTCAAGGTGGGGTTCCAAACCATCATATATATTTCGCAATATTATTCATCTTCCACAGTATATTTGGTTGTTTATCTCAAGTTTGCTAGTCTTCCCTTTGATCCCGGTATACATGATATCACTATAACATATTCTATCAACCTAAATATGTTTACAAATAGTAATAATTTTTCTACTTATGATCCATTAGCTACACTATGGGGTAATTAGATTTATAGTGAAGAGAAGTTAGCATCATGTGTTGTTTGTATTGTTTCAATGTCTAAGGACGCAGGACTACTTGGGCAGGTTATTACGAGCCAACGCTTCGACTTTTACCCGTATGATCCAGGAATCCAGGTTCTGCTACCTAACACCTATGATCTTGTATGTAGGAAGGAGGTTGTTGCCAATGTTTTGCTTGGTGGTATTTGTACATATTATTCTGTTAAGTTGCTACCTCGAACCAAAGATCTAAGTGCAACTGCTATAAATATTGTTGAGGCCTCTGAAGAAGCTGGATGGATGAAACCAAATCATCGTTACATAAACAAAAAGGGTGCAACATTCATTCAATCATTTTATCCCTAGTGTCAGATGGCGAGATCTATTTTCCATGGCTATAATCACAGTGAGGAAGCTAAAATTTCGTGAAATGCCTTACCCAATTTAACAATAGGGATGGGAAAAAGAGTTGTTCAAATTGAGATTAGACTAATTTATGTTGCCCTTTCCTGTGCATTTCTTTGCACTGATGCAAGAGTAATGAGCCACTACGTTAAGCTTGTTGCTGATGCTTTTTTGGGTACCTTAAGGTGTGACATAAGATTGCTTTCATTGATGGCAGATGTTGATTTACGTCACTATATTATTACGCCTCGTACCAGATGCGAAGATGTTGCTGTGAATTACTCATTTGCCGTTGACAGTGTCAAGCGGATATTGCTGCAATTTCTGCTTTACTCGAACCTTGCGGACAAGGTTCTATTTGAGACGGTAAGTATTGTTGTGAACTCAATAAGTGACTCGGCGAAGGACATATTTGGAGAATTGGAAATTATGTATGAGACCCATTTTGAGCGTAGGCAAGTGCTCACTGCGTGAAGTGCAACGTGAAATAATTAGTTATAAATACAGTAGAATGCGTAGTGCATTTTATGCTGAAGTTGTCAAGTGTTAGCTCTATTTTCTCATCTCTATTCTTCTATACTTTTCATCCACAATTCTGAGTTAGTATATTTTTCATCACCTTTCTTCTTAGTTTTCTATTGCACTATCCTTAATACCAGAACCTAAATGTGGTTCTTTTTGTCAAGTAGGACGGAAATAAGTGTAAAAAAAAAGAGTGACATATCTATGTATAACCGCTCTTTTAAAGAGCACTATACATTAACGGACATTTTGGACGTTAAGGTATAACGCTCTTTAAAAAAGCGTTACACATATAACGCTTTTAATAACAGCGTTACAGATGTATAGCGCTTTTTTAAAGAGCGTTATACCTGTTTTGTGAGCCCACCAATAAGTCTCATGCCATAACAATAATTTAAATGGGTATAGCGCCCTTTAATGAGCGCTATACCTAAAAATAAAAATAAAAATCAGCCCAAAAGATGTGCCATAATCACAGCCTTTTCCTGAGGATCCATAGCAAGTGTCTCAAAAGTACTGGGATGTTTAAAGGGTACCGATCCCCAAGGATGGCCTCTGGAATCAATTGAACCCCCACGTGAATTCGTGTACAACAACCGATCTTGGTTTTTCCTTCGAATTTCATTTGCTTTTTCCATGACAAAATCCAGATAAGAGCCCAACACCACTGCTTTGTCTTTCTTCTTGGCACGTAGGAGGAAACCCCTTTTCTCTTCTGGGAGAGGACGCCATGAAAATGTCTGGGCCTGCCTTGGGATGACGACGTGTTCCCACAGGACTTTAACAGTACCATTGAATGTGTCAATGAGAGAATCGTTATTGGAAAGCCCAAAAGTGATGGCGCTGGAATTGAGTCCCCTTGTGAGACTGAGGCGATTCCCAGTGATGGAGGCAGAGCTGCTCAGGTAGAGTTGAACGGTGTTGTAAAGCTCATTGGTATTAACGCCGTCGATCTCCGTTATGTCATAGTAGTAATGGGCAAAGAACCAGTTGCAGATGCGATGGATGAATTTGAGGGACGCAAAACAGACTTTTGCTGGGAAAACTGTTTGAAAGCCCATACCCCCATCATTGATGCCAACGTTGTCCACAACTCTGTCATCCCTCCATGCATAGCGCTCTTTAAAAAAGTGACGTTATATATATATATATATATATATATATAGCATTTTTTAAAGAGCGCTATATCTTAACGTTTAAAATGACCGTTAATATATAGTGCTCTTTAAAAGAAATATTTAAAGAGCGTTATATCTTAACGTTCAAAACGTCCGTTAATGTATAGTGCTTTTTAAAAGAATGTTATACATAGATAAGTCACTCTTTTTTTTTACACTTATTTCCATCCTACTTGGTAAAAAGAACTACATTTAGGTTCTAGACTCTCATTAGCAGTTGCATTGTAATTCCAATTAATGTTGAAATAATACAATCAGTTGGTTTGGATGAAATATTTTAGTTTGTTACATATATCGATTATACATATATAATACATGAGGGACGAATGGCCTTGCAATTAGCTAGCCAATTACTTTAGCCCAAAAGTATTTCAATACACTAACCAAACTTTTCATATTATGGCGCTAGTATTTATGTAACCAAAACAAATTCATGTAAAGGAATAAGTCAGATAAAAATATCTCGATTCAAAGTTCGATATTACATATAGAGATCGAATATGAATTTTAACATATGTTATATTCCTGGATATACTGGAACAAAAACTGGCTATTAGCTTTAGATTATATATTAAGCATATATCATATAAAATGTGACAAATAGAGTAAGCTTATTATTGTTTACCCTTCAAATCGGATAACAATTGAATTTATACGTGGTTTTAAGGATTCATGATACAACTTGGTACGAATTAAGAGAATAGATTAATATTGAAATTGACGATAAAGGAATAAATGCAAACCACACGAATCGAACAGCCTTGGCCCTCGAGTTCGATCACCCTTGAACCAATAGATGTTTCAACAGATGTATGAACAGAGTAACAAGATGATAAAAGCTAGAAAATGATAGTATATTGCTTTATGTTGCGTAATGTGATCCCTTTTACAAATGATCAGACCTCCTTTATATAGTAGGACAGTTCTACTCTTGATACAATAATATATGAGGTAAGAAATCTCATGATTAGCTAATTAATTGGCCTATCCTTGATACGTGCCGAGATTTCTGTCGTGATCTACAACCGATCGCGGATATTTCTTCCTTCCGTTATTCGGTTTGGAAAATTTCCCTTGATCTCGCCCGATCTCGATTTTGTTTGGTCCCAGGGTCTCAAACTTAACAGTATAACCTCGCACCTCGGTTCGATATAATTCGAGGTTGAACCTTAACCTATCATATTTCTGTCTCGATTAGTCACACAAGGGGCGAGCACGGTTTTGACCGTATACAGATAGTTCCCTTGTTTCTCAGAGAGAAGATGATGAGAAACGATATGAACTTTCGAATCTCGTCTCGATGGGCCATGATGTAAGCGACAAACGGTTAGTGGGACACCCGACTATGACGTTGTTACACCCCATGATTTTGTATGTGAAAGTACATCGTAAGTCAATTGATGTAAGCTTGAAAATGGGATCTTCTTTGAAAGTATATAAAGTGATTTACTAATGTTACGTCCCATTTTCTCAAGCCTTTAAGAGTTATCATTCGGGAGAAAATATTTCTAAGTGGACATGTTGTTACATCCCGTACTTCAGACGTCACTATCATTATAGGATTATCTAAAGTACGCTCAAAAATGACGAAATCCTTCTACTAGAATAAGAAAGGTTTACCGAAGTCTTAAGTTAGTTAAGATGAATATGAGACTTTCTAATTATGATTTTAATGAGTTTAAATTCATTATATGACTATATATGATATTTGGATATGGAATATAAAGTTTGGAAAAAATCGGATTTAAGTTGCGGAAAAATCGAGTTAAGTTTGGAAAATTCGCGAGACTGCGCAGGAGGCCCCTATGGGACCCACTTGGTCGGAGCCAGATCTTTACTTATTCTTATCTCGTTTTAGGGATGAGCTTTGCTCATTTTTCGTTCTCCTTTCAGACTCACACTCTCCAAACCCTCCCAAACAGGCTCCCCAAAGGCTCCAAACAAATTCCAAAGGAATACACCATAATCAAACATCAAAAGTTAGTCTAAGTAAAGAAGGGAGTCTATATGGTGTCGTGATGTGATTAAGGGTGATTGTAAGATAAAGGAAGCTTTGGTTTGAGTTTTTTCAGATTCTTTAAGGTATGTATAACACCCTATTTCTTGTAATTAATCTTATCTATGTGTTGGTTAAGTTATTGGATGAAGATTACANTATATATATATATACACACACAGTATTACAGTATTTTCACCACCATCGAGCTATAATCGATGGGCAGGCCCCTATTAGGCTACCTCTGATCAGATGGTAAGTTATATACCGAGCCTACTGTGGCCGGACACCTATGAACGAGCCCAGAATGGCCGAGATACAGAGCCTAGTATGGTCGAGCGCCTATGAGCAAGCCTACTACGGCAGAGCAGTTACACATACCGAGCCTTATATGGTCGGCCAGCTATTTTACTTACTATATTGAGAGAGATGAGTCAGTATCCACAGGTAAGCATATCTTCAAATTATATTTGACTCCCAAGTACTTTCAGTTATTATATTATCAATTCAGTTTCAGATTTTAGTTATCTTGTTGCCTTACATACTCGGTACATTATTTCGTACTGAAGTCCATTTTGCTGGAGACACTGCATTTCATGCCTGCATGTACTAATAGACAACTGGATATACCTTCCTAGTACACAAAGTCAAACATCAGCTTGGTTGGTAAGCTCCACTTCCTCGGAGTTACCAGGTCGATACCTTGGAATCAATTTTATATATACAAGTTTGATGAGTAGGTCGAGGCCATGTCCCGACCATGATACAATTCAATTATTTCTAGAGGCTTGTAGACGAGTCTTGTACATTTTTTATATCAGTATTGTGGCTTTACCACCCCTATGTAGATGTTTAATTTATTATTGCTGGTTGTACACGTAATTTTTAGATGATTTAGAATATGGCCTCATCGTCCTAAGTTGTGGGTTACCCTCCAGAGTTCATAGTTATAGAGTGGTACGCTCGGGCCGAGTATGGCACCGGGTGCCGGCCACGCCTCTTCAGATTTGCGACGTGACAGACATAAGCGACAAACGGGTACCGAAACGTTCTGTCGGCCCAGTTACCAAGGCATTAAATACTTGTTTGTTGCTGGTCGGCCACTATGGGTTCTGAACCGTCATCATCAAGCTATAAATACCCTAACTTTCATCTAATCCAACTTTACGTTCAAAGCTCCTCCTATTCTTGTTCTTCAAAAATCACTTTTCTCTCCAATATTTGCACCCAAATTTCTTGAACTTTTAGCAAATCGCTAAACATACCTTCATAATTTCCCTTTCTTCTGTTCTACAATGGGGAAAACTTCTAAGACTGTCCCGCAAAAGGAGGTTGCCTCTTCATCATGACCCGCCGGCGATGGGGCTGCGGCAGAACCACACTCTAAGGAGTTCGTTCCTGCGGGCTGCCCGACCGTTGCTGATTTTAAGATTGAAAAAACTTCCTCGATACCGGGTCGATATAAGCCGGTCTCGTGGTACATATGTACGATCACCAATGATCTCCTCACCAAGGTTAAAGAAGATTGTAACTGGGCCAATAAACATATGGTGGTGCCTTCGCCTGAGGAGTCAATCACTACCGACGTGGAGGGTTTCTTAAGTGTTTACGCTTACCCTTTCACGTTGGGTCCCTTAGACCCAATAATTGTTGCTTTTTGCAAGAGGTACGACGTGACTCTTTGCCAGATTCACCTATCATTCTGGAGAATAGGGATTCTCTTTTGATTCTTTGTAAACAAAATCGAGGGGTGTTCTTTCACCCTCGATCATCTTATGCCCCTCTACAGTTCCCGACTCTATCAAGGGGGTTGATCAAACTTTCTCACCGGGTTAGTAGGGCTTTCTTCTCGAGTATAGACGAGGCTCGAGACTGAGGTTGGATGGGCCGATTTGTTTGAATAAAGACTTCGGACCTCATCCTTGCCGAGGACATGCCATTTCTCGAGAAATGAAACATAAAATGTAAGTAGTACTTTGCCTTGAAGATATAATCTTTATTGTTTTCCCTCTTATGTCCTTTCTTATCGATGTTTTTGGTGTTGCAAATATGGCCTAGATGCCAGACGTATTTCCTCAACTCAAGGAATGGGTCGAGAGCCTTGTATCACAGAGGCCATATTCCGAGCATGCTTGGATGGAATTATCGAAGGGTCGATGGGAGGCTCGTAATCATGGTAAGTTATCTTTCCTGATGTAATAATGTTTGATTTCCTCCTTTCGTTGTCTAATTCTTATCTATTTTCTCTTGCAGGTCTCCCCAAGGACGTTGCTATGAGGCCTCCATCCGGTGATGAGGATGTGCCTCTTGAGTCCCCTGCTCCGAGGCAGGGTGATGAAAAGAAGAGAAGAAGGGCTCCGAGTTCCCCGAACTCGGAGAAGAAAAAACCAAAGAGGAGGTTGGTGCGTAAAGCTAAGGAAAGTACCAGCTCCCTCCCATCGGACTCGATCCACCAACTGACGGATGAGTCTGAAGAAGAAGAAGAAGATAACTTCGAGCTAGTGACTCGGGTGCGGACCGTATTGCCCCGAACTGAGGAGGCTGTTGAGAAGGCATTGGCTAGTACCTGCGAACCAGAACGGGGTGCGACTGCTTTGTCCTAGACTAGGGAGGTCGAGAGATAGACCGAGGCTGACACTTCTCGGGCAATAGGACGGTACCACAAGGGACAAGCTTGGGGTGATCGACCTTACCGGGTCCCCTCAGATCTCAAACGCCATGATACGTGAGGCCGGTATGCTAGAAGGTCATTCTCATGAGGGGCCGCAAGGGGTGACTGATATCCACAGTTTCTTGGATAGATTAAAGTCTGCTGCCTCAAAAGATGTCACCGGACTTGGTGACTTAACGGTGCTAAGGAAGGTACCATTATCGGGTGCTAGTGGGC